CGAGTTGAAAATTGCAATTTTAAAGAAATTTCAGAAAAAAAAATTATTATGCTCGAAATATTTCATTTTAATATATTCTAATTTTATTTTTTTCTTCTCATATACTTTTTATAGATATATAGATTACATATAGAGAAGAGATATATACAAAACAAAAAAAAAAAATTCAATTTGCATGCTTGTCCAGTCGATTTATTTCAATAATGTCCTTTACGCTTACAATTCATGCACATTAGAGCAAGGAAGCAGCATTTTTACGCTTCTCTGCAGCACAATGCTTCATTCCTTTATTCTCTTATTTATTTATTTATTATTACGTTTTGCTTTTGTTTTTGTTTTTGTTTTTTGTTTACTTGTATTTTTATTTTATATATTCAATTTCTTTCCTTTCATCTGTTGCCCTAAGTAAGCTTTTTCCATATACTCATTCATGCAGAATTCATCACGTCTGCATTTTGAGTACATAAAATATATTGTCTGAAGGATTTAATGTGCTGTTGAAGAATTATATTCCTGACGACAGCGTCAATTCAGTATCATAGGATGTGACTGACTGGTGGCGATTGTGGGGCAAAGTTATTTAAAGTTGAGCATTTTTCAACTTTAATGTGTGCCACTCAGTTTAATATTAATTTATTAGAAAATGAAATTTAATTTTAATTTCCGATTAAAAGTTATTCATTTCAACAGATCTCGAAAAAAAATAACTGCTGGAAAATGTATTTTTAAATTAATAAATAATGGAATTAATGATATAAATATCTAAAGTGAATATTCACATTCAAAATAATAAAAAACAGTTCAATAAATGTTGTCATCGTTTAGTATCCCTTTTGTTTTTACTCTGAAACTAATATTAACGCCATCTATTGATTTCTGATTGATTGAAATTAGACTCTATCATTAATTTGTCATCATTAAGCTAGCAATTTAATTAATTGTTAATTAAATAATATTTACAGTTACAGATTGAATTTCATTTAATCAAAAATTAATTTTCTTTAAATGCCCTAACAACTTCTATAACTATTCGGATATAATATAGTATTCATATATATATAATATTATAATTTTTAAAAATCTGAATGATACTTCGCGAAACTTATTTTGCTATCCCTAATTTTATCTAGAAAAATTGTGGATTGATAGACTTAACCACGTATATATTGAATCATGGGTCTATACATGGTATATAGTAAATGTACTAAATCCATTTCCTGATAATTGCAGTAAACGAACAGATAATGTAGGTTAGGATACTTTTTGCAGAATCTAGAGGTATCAATGTTTTGAAGTCTCATCTCTAAAGTAGAAGTACTTAATAATAGGTACGTTTGAAGGTAGTTTCGAAACCATTAAATAGTAAATAATCAGTAAATAATCAATACACTTTTTTGTGTTACCCCGAATAATTGAGCTGTTTGGATTGCTTTAGTCTTTTGGCATCCATTATTCACTTCGTAAACAAATTTATGTTCGTTCTATTACTAATGCAGTCCGTCAAGCGGATAATCTTCAGATAAACTCTAGTTCTTTAAAATGCATTACGGCACCATTATTCGCAGCTATGTTATTTTGTTAATTGAATCCTTAATACCCATAAGCATATATCTTCCCTTAGACCTAATTTCAGAGTGGTATATTCTCTTCGATTAATTAGTTAATCAATTCAGATTGCTATCTGGTTAGATAAAGTTGAAAGACTTATATATCAGCATTTGATCGTTATACATATCTCATACTGAATATATGCAATATAAATCTTTGATAAATAGATGACTTCTATGATTTCTATAAATAGCTTCAATTTCTATGATAAAATTTGATTTCTATACAAAGTAGAAGTAATGTTTTTAAGAGTACCCATTGGAATTTACTTTCATAGACTTTATTAATGTTATAAGAAGGTTCTCTTTATCTTATACTTAGAATATATATTTTATAGATAATCTGTCACATCAAAATAATATACGAAGGGTAGAATAATATCAACTTAATACTTAGATAATGATCTAAGCACTTTATTGCTTTTGAAACCAATATATTTTTGATTATATTTGCATGGAAATTGTAAAATTCCTTATTTATTTATAATATAGCAAAATTATACAAAAGAAAAAATTAATAAAGGAGCTAGAAATAGCAAATCCACTACTTTTCTATTTGACCATTGCAAAAAACAGAATTAATTTATGAGTTAACAAACAAACTTGCAAATAACATGAAAATGCATGAACGAACATGAAACTGAATTTTCAACAAGGTTCCGAAAGGAATAATGCACACAATACCCAAAAAGGACTTCACATAGACGACAAGCAAATGCTGGTCATTGAAACGAAAAAACAGCTCCAAATAACAGAAACTTCAAACCGTACAAGGCAATGAAGAATAAAGAACAAAATCGAAAGGCAAAAGAAAGTTACTTAAAATAGTTTTCACTAAAATTTATTAAATTATATTCATCTCACTTGGAAGCCAGCAGAAGGAGCAGAAGGATACTAACATGACAACCCACCGCTCACGACGTACAACTGATTTTACAAGTCCAGCTCACCGGTCAAATAGGCAAAGAGAAGGCATGTCAAAATTGAAGATTTTTCCAAAAAAAAGGATATAACTGTATTCTACTTCCTTGAAGTAATTGTAAGATACTACTATCTTTACAGCTTTAAGTGCCTGTAGATTGCAAGTTACTTACTTGGCAAATCATGGCTGATATAAGCACAGCATCGACTATAAGATGCAATGCTTTGTAATGAATCCTGTTAGCAAAAGAACGCGAAATTGTTGAGATAAAAGGAGTTTGATATCCTTAAGAGAAAGCTAATAAACCATTCGCAACAAACGTAGAACATTGAAATGCAATGAACTCTAAAGAATCTTTTGCATTTTTTCTTTTGATAAAATCTCACAGTCAAAAGGCAGGTTGTGTTGATTTGTCTTCTAGTTACAATTATGTTGTAGTGTTTTCTTGAGATTGCAATTGAATGTTTTGCTTGCACTACAAAGTCTATAAAAGTTAAGGATTTACCTTTTTAATAATCATTTATTTTAAAAATCAACACCCGATACCAAAATATACAGAAGACATTATCCTTTCTACCAGTTAATTTTGGTTTTAAAGATTATATGTTGTTTGTATCTCATATATCTTTCACAACGCATTAGAAATACCGGAAAAAACGTTGATAACTAATGCCATATTTTACGCTGTCTAGTTATTGGCCATTGGCAATTAGGCATTGCAAAAATGCTTCTTAATAGCAGAAATGTAACATACCGCAGCACTAAAAAAACTATGTTCAAAGTACTGAAGTATTTTTGGGATGTCTACGGAACCGCTAACATTTTCGTAACCAATTTTAAGCAAACTATCGACACATATTAAAACATAACCGGCTTTTATGTTTGCGAAGTCAAAGAAAACCAGACTACGCATTCCGCAGGATAGAAGGACAAAGCACAGAACTTGCTATGTTCACTTCATCATTACAGCAGCTGTGATAGGAGAATGTGCTGAAGTTTAAGTTTGTGTAAAACACGACTTTTGGGTGGACGGGGTTGAAAGTCTCTTGTATATTTTCTGAGCTGCTACTAGGGGTTGTGCATTGTGCGTTGTGCGAGTGAAAATAATTTTATTCGGTTAAAAATGAAACTATGCCAAGAATGTGCAATTAGTGAACAATACGGCAAGTGGAGTGTATACAGTTTGTCCTTGTGTAAAATTATAAAATAAAAGCAATTTAGATAGATTTAGCTTAGTAACAAAAATATACCCGGATGAGTATGAAGCAGATCAAATACAAATTTTAAACGAGTTTAATAGTAATAATTAGTAAATTACTCTTCTAAAGTCTAATTATTTCTATTAATTTTTAAATAACCATCTAATATTCATTATTAAGTCTATCGTCACGCTTTTATTGCACAGGAATAATGCTAAATTTGAGGCAAAAATTCTTTAAAATCTTCCATTAATCATTATCTTGTTCAATACTTATAGCATTATTACATATTTATGTATTACTTTTAATAAGCTGGAATCTGCGTGTATATCTTACCATTCCCTTCTTTGCTTTTATCGATATTAGGTTTCGAATAAGGTTGCTGAATTAGTGATATTAATATGTACATCTTTTGGACTATGATTTTCTTAAAAAAAAACAAAACTCTTCTGGTGTATCCTATTCTCAATTCCCTGTTTAGACTTATATTATATCACTAAAATCAAATTCAATTTTAAAACAATTGTACCAATATTCTTTTGAATTAACACTACCTCCATACTGATTGCCACTATTTTCTTGTGCCTTTACATTAAGTACCACCTTCACATTTAATAAAGAAATATTTTGATATACATTACATGGGACATGAAGTTCCATAGATTTAGTTAAGACAGTTGTCACTTCATTAGGGCCATAGGTTCATTGGACTTCAATACGTTATTGAATAAAATAGATATAGAAGAGATGAATGCTATCTATAGGTGTACAATTGTAATCTGGATATAAATTATAACATATATAAAGTAACTATTTAGTATATGTTTGTGCATTGACCTAATTTCATCCAAAACAGTTAATTCTTGTTGATCTCTGGCAGGCATTCTTCTTCTCTAGTGATCATATGTTGAGGCAAACTCAATGTCTATGATACTGAGCACACAAAGAGAGCTCCGCATCAATATATACAATTTTAAAAACCCATGTTTGTGGTCATTTTCGTAAATGGCTTCCATGCTGTAACAGTTTTCAACGTATGACATGGATATATAAATCGATGGGTACCAATGGGTTTTTTTTCCTTCTATGCAAAATCAATTGACTCTCTTAAAATCGGACATGTTACGATGAATGATGTCATTTTGATAGAATATTGTTTAGATACAAAATAATACCCCATATTGACCTCTTCTTTTTAAAGTTAATATTATATAAATAATTACTTTTGATTGTTTTATTAGATTTTTATATATTTTTTTTTCATTATTTCAGGACGTAACGAACTCATCGCACGATACATCAAACTGCGCACAGGCAAGACGAGAACACGCAAGCAAGTTAGTTCGCATATCCAAGTATTGGCCAGGCGGAAACTGCGCGAAATCCAAGCAAAAATCAAAGTTGTAAGTGCACTCAAACAGAGTTTGTGTATATACATATATTCCAATCTGAAATCATGTGTACTCATTTTAAGCAATCAAACTTGTATATATCTAATTAGGTATAAAATATTATATGTTTCTCACGCTTTTATCATGCGCATCATATATACAATATTTCCTTATCCCATGTGAAAAGCAAGGTTTAAAATAATTATTAAACTAAAGCTCTTGAGAATTGTTTGCAACAAAATGATTAATTCATTTCTATTTATTATATGTTTATGCGGTTATAAAATATTTTGTTTAAAAGTTGCGAGTATAATAATGATGTTGAAAACAAAGAATATATTTTTTAATATAGGAATGTCTCTTCATGATTTTTATGTTAATCTCTCTGATAATAAATCGTGTGGACTTATGGTACTCAATGCTTCGCGCGTTCGTATAGAGTGGAGCTAAATCGACTGAAAAGTGATGTTTAACAGAAACTTTTTAAATAAATCATATTTTTATATAATGAAGTTTAAGGTTTTTCGAGTAGATTTTTTTTTACTTCTATATTTTCTTATTATATTGAAAACGGATTCCTCTTCATATAAAACTATTTTCAGTACTTTACCCAAAGAATGACGTCCTTAATTTATAATTTTTTGATAAAAAATATACTTTATGTAAAATTTATTCCATAGTAAACAGAACCTTTTATTAAGAAGAACAGCAAATACTAATTTTCTCTCAAATGAGTTTTCTAGAACATCGTCTGGGATGAACCATTAAGCACATTTATTCTATTGACAAATTCATTTTCCCCGATAATGTAAGAATCGTACAGAATCAATTTTATTCAGCCTGCGGTGAAGAGGTTAGAATATTCCCAAGGTAGGCATGCCTGTCGTAAGTAAGTGTAATGGTAGTAATGGTAATGGTAATGGTAGTAAGTGTTCTGTGGTACCTGGGAATCAGCGGCTCACAGCTTTGGCTGTGCTGACCACCTGTAGTTGGACTCGAGGGAGCCGTGATTAATACCTAAACTTTAACGGGTAGAATAGTTCGGGTATTTGTTTGTCATTCATTCGACGTGGAGTGCGTTTCCATCACCGAGTGACCCAAAGATCAGCAGAAGTTTAAAGTCAGCCTCACATCAAACCAAGGTAGAAGTTATGTCTTGCACACATTTCTTCATTTGGCACCGGTGGAAATTCTTAGAATTTTTAATGGAGCGTTGATTGGCGCCTTGTATTATCAATACGTGCGTTTTTGAACACCGTTGTGTTAAGCCTTCACGACAGAGAACGATACTTACAATAACAATAGAGATCTACTACCAATTTTTTACGGAGATATTTCTCCAATGGATGTCCTTACCTATTATACACCTACATATATATGTATTGCATATATATTATCTATATTTTAGTTTAATAGTTTTTACTTTGACTTTTAAGTTTCAGTTTCTAAGTTGGATTCATCCTCCACATTTGTGAATTGCGTTTTCATTTGTGTTTTGACAATAAAGCGAAAGGAAAAAAAAGAAAATTTTTCCTTTGCTATCCTTTGGATTTGTTGCTGCTTACTGTTTTACTGTCCGTGTTTGAAAGGACAAAAAAAAATGAAAATAAAAACAAAACCAGAAACAGAAACAGAAAAGTAAAATATTTTAAAAACTTTTGCGTTTTGTACTCTTTTCCTTGTGTTTTATAATAAACAGGGAAAACAGGGAAAACTAAAAAACTACAAAACAATTGCATTTCAACTTAAAAGCGTCATTTTTTTTATAGTGTATTTTTGTTCTTATTATTGTAGTAGCATTAGTAGTAGTGGTTGTTGTTGTTGTTGTTGTTGTTGTTGTTAGTACTGGGTTTTATATGTAATTCCTGTTCTTGTACAAAAACTACTTCACTTTGCTTCGGTGTGTTTCATTGCTGTTTACCTTTGCTAAAATTTTTCTGCTTTCTTTACTTTTTTCATATTTTCCACATAAAAAGGTCAAAGGACAAACAAACAAACAAACAAACAAACAAATGAACAAAAAAGTAAACAAACTGAAAACAGTTAAAACAATTTTTTAAATTTCCTTTTTATTTAGTTATTTATTTTTTTATTTTTTTATTTTTTTGCTCTAAGGTACAAAGTTGGCATTTTCCTTTCTCCTTGGAATTGTATGAAAAAAGATTCTGTTCTGTTAAAAAAAATAAAAAATAAAAAACTACAATAAAAGAAAATTATATAAAATATCAAAAGGGGTTAAGTTAGAAGAGAAAACTGCAGTTCAAAACATGCAAAATTCTACAAAAAAAAAAATAAATATAATTTTTAATATAAAATTAAACGGAATTACACTGAGAAAAAGTTCAAATTCATTAAAGTAAAAACTTTGCATGCGAATTGCGCTTACAAAGTGTTTAGAGGTGCAATGAAAAGGTAAATGCATTGCACTTCTTTGTGTGCTGAAGAAAATTTTCTTCTTATTTTAATTACACACACTTCAGGCACTGCACGCACTTAACCACTTTCCTCCGTTTTCCTATTCCTCGTTGTCCTACTCTAGAGAATGGCATTATATTTCCCAGGTATTCATGCAGAAACACTTTGCACTTTACACTTTGCACAATTTTTGTTCAAAATGCAGTTGAATAGAAAAATCGTGGTAAATACTGTAGAAAAATCTACAAAAAAAAAAATTCCAATTTTCTTATAGACAACACTCAACCATTTATAAAAAGTCAGAAACATAAAATAACATAACAACTTAATCCCTGGTATTCGTATTAGGATTAGTAAATTTCCAATAAATATACTTTATCATTTACTGATCGGATGAACGGCTTGTTCTGCTTCAATACCATATCAAAAATCATAACTTTAATATTTGGAAAGATCCCTAAAGGTACTTTATTTCTTGCTTTTAATATCTACTTTTTCTAAATATATATTATACACTTACTCAACATTAGTCAATCCTTTGTCAAGTCAACATAGTTTTCCAAAATGCATACTTTAAATGAATACAGCTTCTATAAATTAAAAAAGATGTAGTTATAGTTATGCGTTTCGACTAAACTTCTTTTACAATATCACGATTAATTAAGGATAAAAATCAGTCGAAAATTCTATACAATATAAAAGCAAACGGAGTACTAGATCCCAGCCAATCCTTTACGTATAACATGCTATATCGTTGCTCTATCATATAAATCGGTTTACCACCTAAATTCATTATACAATACCATCCTATTTTTCTTTATTTCTTGTTTCAGCTTTTAATACTTCCTGGGTGTATATTATCTTTAATGATCGACCGTTTATTAGGTCGACTTTATTAATGAATCCCAATATATGCTCAAGTCCATGTAATTTATTTTAATCTTGCTCAATCTCATTTAATTGAATTAATAAAACTAGTTTTCTGTCAGTGGTTAAAAATTATCCTCTGCTCTCCGTTAATTCTCCCGTCAGTAAATGATGGCTAAATATTTGCACCACGCACTTAATTGCTAAAATTAAGGTCTTAGTCTTCTAATTATTCTAACCAGTCATTTAACGAAAAAGGTTATCTTTCCGAATTTGGTTAAGAAGCTATTCGTTCTCTTAATTAGTTAAAATGAGTTAAAATCCTTTTAATATTTCGGTCTATTAACAGCAATACCAATAACGTATACGCACTAAGATAAAAGCCATCCTTTAGGTTACCGTAGATCTAATAAATCCTTCTCGTATCCCAATTTTGGTGTTTCTAGTGGAAAATTTGTAGAATAGACTTGTTCCTATTTCCATTCTCTCTGCCATCCTCATTCTCATATTCCATCTCTACGTTTAGAACTCAATTAACAAGGTAGTGAGAGTGTATATATTCTGCTTGGCATGGTACACTCAAAATCAAGCAAGTGAATCGATAAAATATTAATAACTACACAACGAGAAAAATGTGAATTATAAGTGACTTAACAAATGTTAAATTAAAGCAATTTATTATAATATTATTTTTTGTTTTCCAATTTCTTTTTAATTATCATAAATTAACAGTTTTTCATGTTAGAGAAATTGTTGAAGAAATTTACTGTCATGTCAAAGCTTTGAAAATTCCTTGAGTTTTTCTTGAAGTTTTTCTTTATTCTCACACGAAATTCCTTGTGTTTTTATTCTGGGTCATTTTAGTACTTGACGATAAGAGCTGCTACCCTAGAAGTAGTGGCAGAAAGGAATGTACTCGGTTGTTTCAGTTCATGTGTAGCTGAACAGACACACATATGCAGTACTCCTACGCTCCTTTGAAATAAAACCACAAAAATGACTGTTATGCACTTTGAAAACAGGACACACAAGTTTTGAAATGTATTTTTTACTTCTATGTATATAGATATATATATATATATATTAAACAAAAAAAAATACGACAGAAAGACTTCGTATTGTCCGCATTAAAAAGTTTGAAGAATGTAACCAAAATAAATTCTTTTTCAAATTAAAAAAAATTATTAAATAGAAGTACAGTAAGAGAAATTTACATGTAAGTCAAAGTCGGCACTATCGAACTCATTTTTTGTACATAAAATATATCACAACTCTATATGTATCTCTCTCTCTCTCTTTCTCATTGTCCCTCACCTACATTTGCTAAAACATTGAAGAAAAAAATAAATTTAAATTGAAAAATAAATGCTGCAAAATTCATCAAAAACAAATTAACGTTCACACATCACACATATCAGTTAAGATAAATGGTTAAACATTTAAGTATACACACTCTTTGTCTCCTTACCCACCCTTACCTATCGTACACTTATTTTACAGGATCCGAATGGCGCCCCAAACGGCGTCTCATTGCATTTACTAGCCGAGCAAGAGAAAGCGCTACAGACAATGAACGGCATGACGAGCTCACAAATCGTATCGGTTCAAGCAGCCAAGAATATAGCGCTGGCCGCTTCGGCACTCTCGGGCCTGCATCAGAATGGTACAGCTGCTGTGCCGCCGCCACCTCCACATCCGTATGCTCATCATATGCATCACCCACATCAAATATCAGGCCCGGTGAACTCCTATCTACAGCAGCAACATTCTACCGGAACGAACGCTAGTACGGCAGCAGGACTGCCGCATGCACACTCGCACCATCCGCATCCGGCGCTACATCATCACCCACCGTTGTATTCAGGCGTAAGCTTGACCTTACTTTATAATACAATATATATTTTCTCATGCTGCAAACTGTTGTAACGCTTTCATATGTGTTTGTTTGTTTGTGTGTGTGTGTGTATAATAATTAAGCATAATTAGTGATCATGCGCTCTCAGCTTTCATGTGCTCTATTGGTCTATTGCTCTAAGCGGTTGCTCTGTTTAAAATTGTTCTGTGTTGATATTATCGATGATAATAAAATAATAGTTATTATTTTATTAGATATTAAATATTTTTTGCTATTGGACTTAATTTGTGTGTAACGTATTCAACTCATTAATAACAACAACATTTGTATTGTTAAAAGGACTTTATTCAGAAGCACAAAAGTCATAATCATCCAGTGATCTATTTTGATAAACTAGTGACCCCTTTTGATTAACTTTTGTGATAAAAAACTTTTTGAAGATAAAATAAAAATGATGAAGATTAATATCCGTCAATTTTGCAAATACATCATTTAGTTCTTCATTTTAATGCCAAAAATATATTATTATTAAAATCCGTTTCCAGGCTTAATACTTATTGCAAGCTTAAGAGTGGTCTCTATCCCCAAATACTCTTGATATAAGAATTCCTTAGAGTCCATAGACACAATGCAAAATATATTAAAAATAAAATATATTCTGTGTATTTAAAAATGTTTCCAAATTAATTATAGGTTCAATTATTTTAGTAAAATCCATACACAACACCCTACGTAATATTTTGACTAGCTTCAGAATATAATATCTATATGTAACATTCGAAGTATGTTTTTGTAACTGGCCTTCCAGTTAATATCATAATCTATTGATACCACTTTTGTCGCCCTATTTGTAGTTATGCCTCGCGCAGAATGCATCTATATAACGCTATATTTGGGGTTTGACATATAAAACCCAGAACAAATCAATAGAACTGTAAACGTTAAACTTATTAAACTTTACACGACAAAACGTTACATTTCGCAGTTGTGTTCTGCATGGGGTATATCAGTCTTAATGCTCTCCAGATCGCATGTAAATGCAAGTACTCGTATATACTTTTCAATCTTTTTCGTGTTGCTTTTCATAAATTATTTAAACCTTGCTTTTAACATGCAACGTATACACAATAATAATTATTAAAAAAATATTCTAAATTAAATATTTATTATTTTTTTTTACTTACCTCTCCGCCTATAGCAATTTTGGCAGCCTGGTCTACAGCCGAGCACCTCACAAGAGTAAGTTGAACTAACATTTAAACAGTTATCTCTCTCATTTGCATTGACCTTAGTTTCTATGATTACAGCATTAAGCCATTTGCACAACCACCATATCCCGCCGGCAAACCATCAACAGCTGTATCTGGTGATATTGAAGCAGGTCTTCCACCAGCACAACTGCCATGGGAAGGACGAGCGATAGCGACGCACAAATTTAGGCTACTAGAGTTTTCTGCGTTCATGGAAATGCAAAGAGACGAAATAGTAAGTGACAATAATGCTTTTTTTTCAATCAATCATTTAATCAATTTTTTTCATACAGTTTCACCGGCATTTGTTTGTACAGCTTGGCGGCAAACCATCATTCTCCGATCCATTACTTGAGGTAAGTAAAGATATTTCTCGCATATACATATGTGTAGAGTACATGTAAATGATTTATTTATTCAAATTACAGGCTGTTGATATACGGCAAATCTCCGATAAATTCCCAGAGAAATCGGGTGGTCTTAAAGATCTCTATGAAAAGGGTCCACAAAATGCATTTTACTTGGTAAAATGTTGGGCGGACTTAAACACCGATATTACAGGCAGTGAAACAGGCGACTTTTATGGTGTAACCAGCCAGTAAGTCAACCACACATAATTCATCAACAAATACTGATTACTTTTCCCTTTACTTGTAGATATGAAAGCAATGAAAATGTTGTGCTCATTTGCTCCACAAAAGTTTGTTCTTTTGGTAAGCAAGTTGTGGAAAAAGTGGAAACGGAATACTCACGTTTGGAAAACGGTCGTTTTGTGTACCGCATTCATCGTTCTCCCATGTGCGAATACATGATCAATTTTATACAAAAATTAAAGAATTTACCTGAACGTTATATGATGAACAGTGTACTGGAGAACTTTACAATACTGCAAGTAAGTGTTCGAATTTGAAGGAAATAATAATAATGTTAACTAATTTTATTCAATAATTGCTCGGTGTTTAGGTAATGCAAGCCCGCGATACACAGGAAACACTGCTATGCATAGCCTACGTATTCGAAGTGGCAGCACAAAATAGTGGCGCAACTCATCATATCTATCGTTTAATAAAGGAATAGCATGAGCTCCAACTGCCCACACTATCTGCAATAAATGCTAACCTCACTCATAATATGAACATAAGCAGCAATAATAGTAGCAATGTTGGAGGTGTACACGAAGTGAGTGAATTGGTTGCAGCGACGGGTGGCATAGCTGACAGTACAAACAATGTGGTTGGTAGTGTCCTACAAGATGCTGCCAACACACTGACAAAAGACACCACTGGCAATATTGAACACAACAATAACAATTATTTAAACAGCAGCGATTTGACTACAACAATTATAAAACAATCGCCGACATCGCCGCCACCTTTAGCTAACTCGCATATGTCTGCAGGTGCTGCAGTTGCTGCTACTGTTGTACAACAACAGCAGCAGCAAACTAAAGACAATCTTTTCGCCACAACAGCAACTGACATACAGCAACAACAACAACAACAGATTCAAATTAATAACACTGCTGAGAACAATTTGGGCAATATGATTGAGAACAACAATAACAATAGCCACGGCAGCAACAATTTGTTACGTAAAAAACATGACTTGCCGCTAACATGTCAACTGTCCAGTGAGCTTGTAACGACAAGTGTATCTAGCAACAGCAACCTACAACATCATCACCCACATCAACAGCAACAAACACATCATCATCATCAACAGCAGCAACAACAACAACAGCAACAAATTAACGAACGTCCACCTCCGCCGCCATATCACGCAACTGCTGCAGCTAAAGTGTTCCATGCACAAGCAACCAATTGCACCAGCAACTCCAACACCAACACCAGCAATGAAGCACTTTCGCATGACATAGCAATCAATCCAACAAGTCGTCTCACTGCGTATGAGCAATTTCTAAAATTGTCTGCGCAGGAGTACAGTGTATCTGCCGCTGAGAGCGCAGCTGCATTGAATTTAAGTAGTTTAGGCAAAGGCATGCCGAGCACCGTTTCTGCAGAAACAGATATAATGTTGCGTCATGTCAATGTTGCTGCTGCAATGGCTGCGGCTGCGGTGGCTAATGTAAGTGGTTCCAGCATTGAATCTACAAATGCTGTCGCCGCCACTGAAGATGTTTGTGAGCATAATTAGTGAACTTTTCTTGGCAACACAAAAATATATGTTTTGATTCATTAAAAATTTTAAAATCAAGACAGCAGACTAAGTGAACCGAACTTGTGTTAGTGAAATATTCAAATTTAAATAATAATATGAGTCTAACCAGCATGTCTATGTCCAGGCCAGGCCAGAACTAGGCTTAACGATAATAGCATTGACCAGACTCTTGCCTTTATAAAAGTTTCTGGCTGGTTCTAGTTCGACCTTTGTACCCACTATTACGAGAAATGGTGTGTTCAAAGCTAAGGAAAGGAATGGTGTCTTTCTAGCTAATTGAGGAGGATACGTTCCTCTCTCCACTTCAACTAACTAACTAACTTTTTGATTTATAGTCTCAGGTGTCTAATCGGGCTATATATTACGTCCTTAATGTTATTTTTTTTGGATGATATTAGTATTGAATATTTTTCCAATCCATAGTACTTTCCATAGTGGGTTGAGACGCAATGATGTAGACTATGTTTTGTCTTTTCCATTTTATTTATTTTTATAAAAATATTAAGATATTGTTTATACCCCCTTTACCCACGACATCTTCTTTTCTAAAAGTGCTTTCACATATTTGAGTTCGGGAGACATACATATATGGATTTTAAATTAAAATTAAGTAAAATTTTTCAAAGGAATTTTTAAAGATGTAGGCAGTTCTGGTATAATATTCAAATATTCATAAAATCAATGAATGACTTTTTTTAGATAAGGAGAAAAATTCTTACGACAGATTTCACAGTCACAACTTGAGTCTTAATGCTGACTTAACTCAAGATAAGTTGATCAATTAACTTAAGTCGAAAAACAATTATATATTATATGTTATATATTATATTATAACAATTATATATTATTATTATTATATATTGATTTTTTGTGCAATATTTTTGCCACTCCAAATGTTTATTTTTCTTCCAAATTCAAATGTTTTTTTTTTGCCACCCCAAATGTTTCTTTTTCTTCCAAATTCAAATGTTTTTAAGTTTTCATATACAAATAAAAATTAAGGAACCATATTTGATTCAAAAAAATATTACTATCTAATACTTATTTACTTTTGTGACATTCTTTACTTATCTGAAGTCATACGTAAGTGACTTGAGACTGTGAAATCGACTCTTAGTTTCTTTTTCTAGCACGACTTCGATTAATACTTAGTTTAATGATATAGAAATTTAAATTAGCTGGAATGAAAATTAATTGTAAAGAGGCTTTAATTCTATTAATTTACAATTTTTTTTTTTTTAAAAAACATAAATAAATTTTTTCAAGAGTTGCCAAAAAAAGTTACACAAAAATTGTATTAATATTTTTTAATATAGCTGAAAAAATACTTTTAAGTTAAATAAAAAATAAAACAAATATTTTAATGATCTCACAAAAATATAATTAAAATATTAAAAAAAAAATGTTTTATTTTTGCATTTACTCTAAGCATAAATGCAATGAAACATTTTTTATGAATATTAATACAAAATAATTTCGCCACAAACTGAAGTGTAAATAATTAATTTTTAACTAATACAACATATCCAGCTAAAAAATATTGCTACTGGTAAAATGGATTTAAGAAAAAAATAATTTGCTGCGAAACGATTTGCATTAATTAAGAGTTGTATAAATATTTTATTTTTATGTTTTAACAGCATAATTAATATTTCAAATAGTATATAATTGATTTTTAAATTTAAAAATTTAATTAATTTTTAATATATGTAAAATTGTTTTTTAATTATTGCGTAATTTATTGTAATTAATTATGTGCGTGAATTTTACGTAAACAAGTTAAGTAAATTAATTAAGTTTCTTATTAAAAAAAAAAATTAAAAAATTAAATAAAATTCATAAGCAATGAATTGAGCCAACCACCGTTAATTAAACGAAATAATTTAATATAAATAATAATAATAATATTAATATTAATATAAACATACTTAATTTACTTAACCGGTACTAAAAAATTATATTTAATATTTTTATTTAATATTTTTTAATATAAATAAGTGTAAAGTATTTGTTGTTTAAGAAATAATTTTAGATATTTACATAATTAAATTAACAGATATTAAATAAAAATATATATGAGTAATTAGTTTTTCTTTAAGAACCTCTAATAAACAATAAGAAATAAAATAAAAAAAAAGTATGTACATTAAGAAAAAAAAAATATGTTTAAATTGAAAAAGAAGTTTTGAAAAAATACAAAAAAATTTTAAAAGCATGAAATAATTTAATACAAAATATATCAGTAAACTTAAAAAGGGTTAAGCAACAACAATAAATAAAAATAAATGTAATTATTTTAAATACAATTTTAAAACTTTATATATATATTAAATAAAAAACAAGTTATTTATTCATTTTACTTTCTTAAAAGAAAATAGTGCCTATCCGACGATAATTGAAAGAGAACAGAAAATTATTTTACAAAAATATAAGAAGTCATGCTAATATATGAACAAAACTAAATAAATTCGAAAAATAAAAATTTCTTATATTCTGAATTAAAAAATATTTAAAAATATACAATATAAAAAAATTTACAATATAAAAATGAGAACAATAATTGCAAATACAATAGTTTAAAGCTATCTTTTAATACTTATAAATAGAAAAATTAATGCAGAACATTTATACGGAAAAATGCAGAGATATGATAAATTTAATAAAAATTATAATTATACATTAGTAATTGGGATATATGTATAAAGAATTAATAAGAGCAGTGTCAATAACAATTATCATAATATCATATAAATAATGAAAATACTTAACAAGTATTGACATTAAAAAAATCAAATAGTGATACTATGATAATTATTATTTTAATACACTAAATCAAATCCAAAATTATATATATGTGTGTATGTATATGAATACCAATACACGATACTATTCTTAAAAGTCTACCTAATTAAAGTATTATTCCTTTAATTAGATTGAGTACATATAAAGAATAAGTATTTATTTGCATTATTTAGGCTATTAGTGCTAACTTCTCTATCTTCCGCATTACTTTCACCCACACCCAACGTAATCAACTATTCTTTTGACTTCATTTATGCTTCCTGCAATGTACATCTCCGCAGTCTACGCAACAATAATAGTTCTAACCCTGGGTTAAGTCCTAGAATATGACTTTGTCTAACAGTTGACTTTGAGATCGCAAAATTGAACAGTAAAAAATAGTATATCAGTTTTTCTGAAGGTGCCTGCTGATATGCTGTCTATTGGAAGGGATTATCAAGACTTACTCGTTTCGATAAAGGAATGGCTGTGTGCTCCTGGAATCAAATTAGATACATAGTGTTGGCTTTGCAATTCAATATCTTTGATATTCATATATTCTTTATGTTTAAAATTACAACAACAATTTGAACAGCAATTATAGCATTATCCTTTTAATAATTGTTATAACTTTTTGATATAAACAACAAATAATTATAAAAGTAACCAAAATTCGATCATTCGATGGAAATAGCGAATCGGCTTTAAAACATAAATAATAACAAATGTCGAGAAAGCATTTTAATTATAATCACATATAAATATGACATCCCACTATGAGTGATCCATTATCTCAATTAACTAGTGTATTTAATTATAATAAATAAATGTTTTCATACAGATTTAATATTTTATAAAATTATTTTGTTTATAAATAGCTAAACAAATATGCAACAGGCATGCAAAATAAACTATTTTTTTCTTTTGATATTTTATGAGTTTAAAAAATATATCCGTGTGTATTGATCGATCGATATCTCTCCAAATCATATGAACATATACATTTCAATAAAAACTCCCTAGTTTTTCACACAAAATTTTTGTAACAATAAACAAGTAACAATCACTTAAAAAGTAAAAAAATAACAATAAATGGAAAACTTCTTAACAATAATAAAACTTTAATAAAATTTATTATAAATGTAAGTAAAAAATAAATGAAATATCAAAATTGTGCATATTCTTTGATTTTTCAGTGTAAGTTTACTTTTTGTACATTATTTAATTGTAGTTATTAAAGTAAATAAGACGTAACAATTTAAATTATTGTTTATAAATAAATAATAATTATAATAATAATGTAAGCAAAAAAATACAAAACTGAAACGTATTTCAATAAAAACCTAAAGCTAAAATTATATAAAAAAAATCTTTGTAATTTTTCGATAATTTTTTTTTAAATTAAATTAAACAATTTTGCTATTACTTTTTAAGTTAATTTTTAAGTTTATAGAAGCAATAATATTTGAGTGAAATATTGTAAGCAATTCAACGACCATAAATAATTTTAGTTAAGTAATTTAAACATTATCAACAAAGTAAAATTATTTCTTATATATTATTTAATAATTTAAATTATTTTAATTTTAGTGTTAATGAATTATTCACTTAAAATTAAATGAAAATACTAAATTAAGTTGCTGATGTCCTTTTTGTTTATTACTTTTAATTTAAAATTAGAATTTTAAACATAAAACAAACAAAATAAAAATATTGTGTCATTTTGATTTTTTACAAATAAAAAATATAAACATTTTTTTAATTAAAACAAATTTTAAATCTTTTTTATATTTCAAAATTATAAGTTTTTTTTATCTATTGTTTCTAATATTTATGGTTAGGATACATCCACTTTTCAGAAAAGTTACTTAGCTACTTGTATAGTATTAAAGTTTATCCATAACAGACCTTGTTGGCAAGTCCGTAGAAATCTGTAGGGCAGGAAAAATTAATGGATTAGTTAGAACACAAATACACTAGTTAAGATGGAATATAGGAGGTTGCACAACAACTGTCCGACAAATGCGTATCTGGTGATGGTGATTTTGTTCCTATAGGAGGGGCTGCGCAACTCTTAGTCATCTGTGCAGACAAGTGGTTACGGGATGTTGTTATTGTAGTATTCTACTATAACCTAGAAATGGGGATAGCAGCATAGGAAAGATAAAAGCTATTTAAACAAACAAAAAAGTTAAAAGTATAAAAAGCAAATATCAGTTTTGTGAAAATAGTTAAGACTAACATAAGATAAGGAAGTATATAGTGGACTCAAGTTACATGTTTTAAAGGGAGCAAATAAAGAGGCAGTTTCATTAGGGTGCGCACAAACCCATGAGGTTGTCCATCATGTGGTCCCATAAAGATTCGCGATGTTAACGTTAATAAGAGAAGGTATGTATTTAATGCAGTATATCTGAAAAAATAAATTGTATATTATATATTTTGTAGTTAGAAATCAATGATATTGTAGCTATAATTAGACTCAATTTATAAAATATATAAGATTGCAGTGAAGTAACTAACTAACAATATAGGCATTGTTTCTTATCAATGTAAATTATTAAAAAAAAAAACATGATTTTTTTATTTTTTCGTAATGTTCATTTATTGAAGCTAATAATTGTGAATTTGTATAATTTCGTTAATTTATCATTTCTTCTTTTCTCTTAAAAAAAATGCAATAATTATTATAGCAATGTTTATTTATAAATTACGGATTGTTTTAGTGTTTTTGTTGTTTACATTCTTTTCTTTATTACTTAAATGTTTATTTTTGATGTTTTTTTTTATAATTTTAGTTATTTTTATTTTATTTAAAAACTATAATAAAAATTTAAAGTATACGATAGTAAAAATAATATAAAATTTTAATGCATAGGTGTAAATATTATATATAATATTTTAATAATAATATTGATATATCCCAGGGATTTAGTTTTCTTTTACATTTTACTAACAAAAAAATTTTTTTTTGAATACAATACAAGCAAAACAATACAAATATTTTTTAAATCTAAAATCTAAAAATAATAATTACTTAAAAAATACAATACGCACAAAAATCGTTTTTAGTATTTTCACTAAACAAACACTCATTTTTTTTTGTTTTAACTTTCAAATATACATTTTGTAAATTTTTTTTAAATAGTTTTTATTTGTTCGTTAAATCAGTTTTTTTTTGTATAGAAAATTACAAACTGTTACATTACAAAAAAGTATATTTTTTTAAATTTCGTTTTACATTTTTTATTTAATAATATTTTCAATTATACTGTACTGTGTTATTGTAAATATTTTAGTTTCAAGCATTTTCGTTTTAAATTTACTACTTATAGCAACTAACTTGGTAAAGAATTTTTTTTTCTGTTAATATACAAAATAGATCAACTGAGTCCGAATCTGAATCTGAGACTAAAAATGATAAAACAAATGCCTTTTCAAATCGTTTGCAATACAACTATCTTGTTTCCTACATCTTTATCGATAATTAGCTATAAATTATTTTGATGCTTATTTAAAAATCAATTAAAAAAAAATTGTTATATTATATTTTTTGTTTTGAATTGATATTGTTTTGAGTTTTTTACAACTCCAGTTAATAACACAAATAGGATTTATTGAGTCTCAACAAATCCTTTTTGTGTTATCTCTGGTAACTACAGACGGAGCGGAGTGTATGTAATTTATGTTATTAAAGCAAAAGAAAACAATTATAGTTTTAATGATAATAATAATTATGATAATAATAATAATAATAAGAATAATTATATAAATATATTTATTTAAGTTTTTATTATTATTGCAAGCTTAACATTTTCATAAACCAAATATAAAATTTATGCTTATTATATTGTGTTCTTGTTGTTTTTGTTGTTGTTGTTTTAAGTTATAATGAAATGTTGTGGTTGGTGTGGTTTATATTTGTAGTTGAAATTGTTGGTATTACAGCAATTGGCAGCAAAGAGATTTGGTTTTTGTCGGCTGTTTAACATCAGTTTGACGCTGTTTCTTACGCGATGAAATATCCCTGATAAGATCATAAAATACCTAATAAATGCAGCAACATGGAAGAAGGAAAAAAATTTAATTAATAAAATATTTTAATATGTTTTTAAGACAAAGATTCAATTTAGTTTTTTTTTTTGGCAAATTTTATAAATTAATTCAAAATAACCCAAATAAGCTAGAGAAGAATAGTGAAATATATACATAAATATAAATAAAAGGAACTCAGTAAAGGAAAAAATATATGTACCAAAAATGATAAATAATATATGAAATGAAAATATAAAATAATTTATACAAGAGTACATAACATATATAGATATATGAAATAATGATAAAAACTTAATTCAGGACTATTGAAGTGTTCATGTGTGTAGGTGTGTAAGTTTGTGAGTATTACAAGTGTGAATAAAAGCAGAACAAAATATAAATTAATTAAAAAAATAATTTTATTTACAGTTTTAAATTATTAGTTATGAATTGTGTGCAGTATTTTAGCAAATATGTTAACAATTATGTAATAATTACTATATATACAAAAGTTCTAACGAAGCGATACATAATCGTTTATCTAAATATCTTAATTAAATCAAAGTAATTAGTTTTAAAAATTTATATTTTTATATTTTTTTTTAATCCATTTAAAGAGAATATCAATAGATGTTTTATAAAACTTAGTTCCAGCGTGTGTGGCAATCGAAACACTAAATCCACTTAGTGATATGAATATGTAAAGGCAGACGTTTTACCAAAGCCCGCTTTGGTAAAACGATGGTTGTTTCTCTAGCGATACCGATTTATGTTACATATAAATCGAAATAAATATTTTAGATCTTAAGCTCAATAGCGGGTTCATTGTGATTACATGAATATATATTGCCAAACCAAGTGACTTTGACTTAAGTTTTAAATTATTTGAAGTAATTAATCGATATCTTAAACTTAACTTAGAATATTGAATATAGAAGAAATGTAAAGTCAAAGAGGGAGGCAAATAGATAGATGAACTATTAGCTAGTAAATAAAGATTAGGTTAGTTTTCAGGATAAAGTTGGGAGTTATTTTTCAACTTCATAAAAATTTCTACTTTTCCATTTTATATTTACAAAATCTTAAACGTTGTTAGTTCCATGCATATCCAGTTAACTCAATGGGTTAAGTGATTGAATAGTGGAAACAAAGCTTAACAATTATTGCTCTTAGAGCTTTGCTTCATGTTGCTTCATTTTAATAACCAAAACCAAAAACGAAAAATAGTTTCAGAATTAAAAAATAAATTAAATTACAAAATAATAAAAATAAAATATAGATAATTTTGAATATTTGAAGATCACAAAAAATAATGAGATTTGCCAATTAAATATTTTAATTATTTATACTAAGACTACTTGAGCAAAAAAGTTTCTTATTGTTTAAATATATATACATATATATATATATATATACATATATATATATTTTTTTTTTGCGTATGCAATAATTTAGTATTGTTTAGTATTTTATGTTAATGGCACACCTATTGCCTAAAGTAGTGTACACTTAAGTCTCCGCTTCTTGCATCTGTCTTTTGCACGCCCACTTGTCGCTTTTGAATCTTCGGTCTTGCGTGATCTTATTTCGCGCATCAAATCAAAAAATACCTGGATGAGACGAGAAGAAGAAGAACAAGAAGAAAGAGAAGAAAACAAGAACAAAAAACAAAACACATATTGTATATAAAAGCAGTGTAGTAATTTTTATGTTTTTAATATAAAAAGCAGTTTAATCTAAGGCTTAATACGAATACAACAACTAAAAACACTAATATTAACTTAACTAATATTAAACAAAATAAAAAAATTTATTACTTTTGTTTGTTTTTCTCATGTTTGTTTGTTTCTAGGTTAATGATGCCAGTTTTATTTGAATTCATAAACATAAATTATAAGATAAACTTAAAAAAATATGATGATAATGATAATCACACTAACAGTTAGCAAACATAACACTATAATTTATAATAAACATAAGATATTTAATTCATTTGAGATAAAGTTGCAGTTGGTTAATATCAGAATAGTTCAACGTTCGCAAAGTAACAAAAAGATTAATTAATAAATTAAATAAAATAAAATAAATGTTAAGATATGAAAATAGTTATACAATATGCTTCATAAATATACATATATACGCAATTAGTAGAAATATATTATATTAGAATGACTATTTAAAATTAAACCTATTATGAACATCTAAAAAATATTACGAAAAACACGTCAAAAGTTAGTTAGTTGTTGTTGTTTTTGTAATCTATCGAAGATATAAAAAATAGTTATGTGTTCCTTTAATATATGTCATCTTAGTCATGCCGCCTAATTAATGTGGTAAATTTATATTGGCATTATGTCACATTTTAATTAATAGCAAATAAAAAAATGGGAAATATATATCTTCAGAATCTCTCAGAACATGCTAATCTGATATCACTTAAATGCGATTTATTCACACATAACTACCTCCAAATAAATAAATTTTTTTTTGCATTCTATGTCCCTTTTAAGAGTGGTGATACACACCTGCGAAATATTGGAAGACCTTAGACTAATTATAACCGTTTGTTGTATAATTTGAAAGTAAAAACAATACAACAGTCCGTTTGAAAAAATTAAATTGAGTTGATGAATCAATTGATACATTACACATTTTATTGTTATTATTATTACTACGGCAGCCATACTAGTACAAAATAAGAATTACCAATAGTGACATATGGAGGAAATGAAGGGAGTTCGAAATAAAGGAGACTTTGAAGCATCTCCTATGTTAATGTCCTGCACTATTAAAATGCTTAGAGGCTTTAGAGTTCGTAAAGTTGGAAAAAATTTTAGCAAAACATTGGACCCATGGTCATCAATAGTAAACTATTTGGTTTCTATTTCTAATACAAACATTAACAGTCATATTAAGTTGACAGAATTAATGACTGCCACTGCTTCAGAGTAGAAAAAGTTCTCTTCCTTCTAAGAACGAGAACCGCAAAATAATCTTATGAATATTTAATCATTGCCTCTATTATGGGTACCTATGATAGTCGCGCGTTTAACTATTTAATAATAAAGTGCAAGCAAATTGGCACCATTCCTTATTGAATGTCGGAGAGAATCTAATGGATACCGATGATAGTCTCGCATTTAAATATTAAATAATAAATTGCAAGCAGATTGACACCACTCCTTATTGAATGTCGAAGAGAATCTATTCTTTTGTGGTATATTTTCAGACAGCGTTGCTCTAATATTTGGTAGATTTGTTCTATCATAACTTGCATATACAACAACAGTTTAAAAAATCCTTACTTTTAATTTCAATAATAATAACGATATTACCACCTACATCACTTAACTCTGGTTTTAGTTTATTATTATTTAAATTTAAAATCTTCTTTAACTCTGTCGTACTACAGCACTATTTTATTCGTGATTTCTACTCTATTCTACTCTATAAGACCATACAACTAATTCTTCTCTTAGATGTCATTAGAGTATATCTATGTACAAGTTATGAATAAGTGTAGAATCTGTAGATAAATATTTTGTTATAATTCTAACAAAATATTCTGTATAATCATTTATCTCTCCTTTTTTACGGTAAAACTTTTACTATTCATTTAATATAAAAAATTATAAACAACAAATAAAATTAACGTATAATAATTAATTCTATACTGTCTGACTAACACAAGTGCTAAAATAAATTAAGTGAACATAAAGTTTCTAATATCAAATAATAGAGTTTATTAAACAAATATCAAATATTTTTAAGAGCAATAAATAAACATAAATTATTATAAACATAAATTATAAACTATGTTTTATTTTAATTATAAATGAAAACATTTACATCTAATATATAAATGTATGCGTTGTACAGTATCTAGCAATATGACTAAATGGATCTATGGTATCTATAAAGCTCAACTTACGGCTAAAATGTTGCATATATTTGTGTTGGGTGTGTGAGCGAGCGTGACGTATATTATATATATTAAGGATGTTAAAGGACTTTTAATAAAAAAATTTTTTTTTTGAATTTTTGCTTTGCGTTTGTAGTATCAACAAAAAGTAACAACAAACAAACAAAACACAATACAAGGACAACAACAACAAATACAAATTGCAACAAAAAAATTATACTAACCATACTGCAAAGGATGCAGTTTGGTCATTAACAAAAAAAATAATGATGATAGATGTATGCAGAATTAAAGGAGTGCGCGAAGGAGGATCTGGTGGTACTGGCGGGAAAAACTTATCGAATTGATTATCAATCAATTTCTTATTATTACTAATTCTATGTATAAACATATTTTATTTTATGATACAAAATACTGAAAACTATTTTGGATTACCTTGTCGACGTTTTCGCGTGTTTTAGCAGAAGTTTCCACATACGGCACTTGCCACTGTTGGGCGCGTGTCTGGCATTCGTTGAGCGGCACTTTACGTTTATCATTCAAATCGCATTTGTTGCCCACCAACAGGAACGGTATGCTTTCATCGTTTTTAACACGTAAGATTTGTTCCCTGTTCAGTGAAAATTAAAAGTGATATTGTATTAATAATTGGATTTTATATTATACGATAGAAATAGAAATTATTAATAGATAAACTACAGAACTCATGACTGCTAGAAATCAGAAAAGAAACAGAAACTAATATATATATTTTTAAAAAAAAAAATAATCTGGTACATCGAATTTTAGTACTTTTGTTCTGTTGCAAGCTGCATTTGATTGCTTGCATTTTGTTGTCCACAACAATTGCATCTGTGCTTCGTCGAATTAGTGAAATGCTGCTTGCATATATTATGCTTGCGAAATTGTGCATTCGTAAATTTAATGCCACGCAACGGATACTGTAATTCGTTGATAATTGCATGTCCGTCCGAGCAAGACTACGAGTGTCTGTTCTCACATACGCAATTTTCTTCACACTATTCTGTTATGCATGCCTCTAAGGCCTCTTCTAAGCATACATCAATCTGAACAACAAATGCCCAAACCGACGTGCATACAATGAATAATCTTTGTTTTGATCTTCCAGAGAAGGAAAAATATCTCACAATTATGCAAAAATTTTATTTTCTGTGGAAAACTGACTCAAGTGTCGGTTCGTGTACTTAATTGATTTCAAGATTTTTTTCTTGAGTTTACTTAATTATGCATAAAATTAAAATTTTATTGTGCATACGTCATATCTGAAAATATTTTCATATCAACAATTAACTAAATGGAACAAAAGTATTACAAAAGAGTTTTTATTTTATTTTACTTATTTTCAAACAATAAACTTTAGTGTGTTTTTATGATTCAATAATCGAGTATCAAAGTCATTCACATAAATGGAAGGATGCAGCAGCTTCAAAATGAAACACTAACAGTGTTCATGTTAGAATGGAATATTTTAGTACATTGTAACCTAATAGATTTAATCCTTGAAAAATTACCCAAAGCTAAACACAACAAAATAATGCTGTCAATAAACCAAAATGCTGTTCAAAAGTCAATTAACAATACTAGATACATTTCCTTATAATCAAAGAACAGAAAATGAGTAAAAAAATTAGGAAATAGTCGCAGAATAAGAACGACAACAAATACAAACAAAATAAGAAACTTTAAAGCACATTTCTTGAATAAGAACATAATAAAATCAAAAAATAAATAGATAAAATGCTATCATTTCGATTTTTTGGTTACGCCGATTTGATAAAAGGTTTTAGTAGAATCGACTACTTTATAAGCCGATATCATTACTCCCCCAGACATGGACTTTTTAACTTATTATATTGATTTCACTAATAAAAAATCTTTACATGTCATCCACCCCAATTAGTCGATATAATGTTTGCATTGATAACACCATGACTTATTACCCATGACAAGAAACATATTGCCCATATAGAATTCAGATTGCCCGTAAAAATTAACACATTTGAAAAATTGACAGATTATAGTTCTTATAATTAAGAAGTATATGAAATTAATTTTGAATTAGTTGCAGAAGCAATCGGATATACGTCATGGAGCCATTTCTCTTTCTAGACGACAAGAAGAAGGAAGACAGGTTTCCAGTACAGATTACAGCAACAATAATAGAAAGAATGTTGTAGAACTTCAAAGAGCAGCAACAGATAGATATATGTAGATACGTTAAAATTATACAGAGTATAAATGGAAACAGATAATAATTATAAAGAAAGTGATTTGATATAGACCTGTGTTAATAACATAATTATCAAGTTTAGAAATATAACTCACTCGTACCAAGTCAGAGTTTCTTAATTTAAAAACGATTAAATACTTAATAATTATATAGATTAATTAATATATAAATATATATAATATATATAGAAGCGATTCCTTTACATTACTCTAAAACTACAAAGAGACATTGGTACCTCAAACGAATTTTTTTAAATATTATTCTAAAAAGATATGGCAATTATTTTTATTATATTATATAGAAAGTAATTATGTTTTTTCATTTCTTAATTGTGAAACTAATCTTAAAATAAACAATGCCATTGACGTTATTATTCACAGTTATAAAAAGATCTACCCACACACAACTGACAGACAATGTGTCAATTTGCCCTAGAGTGAACTGATAAGAACGGTTGGCGAATTATATAGATTAACTTAATTTCCGCTATATTAGTATTATACAATACAATGAGTACATATGCTCTAAATTAGACATTTTTTTATTATATGTCAATACTACGGCCTGCGGGCAAATGATAAGAATTACTCGTGTTCAGTATTTTTCACGCAATGGTCGTATATGTAATGTGTGAACAACTCAACACTACGTATTCGTAACGAAAATGATTTACTCCACTCAGTTATTTTTTCAAATGTGGCGATAGCACGAATCATAAAAATATACTTTGTAAGATATTTAAATAATGTTAACTTAATAAGATAATTACAAACCAAAGTCAACTCAGCATACATCATAATAATCATAAAGAAATAGTGAAATGAGTGCCCCCCTAAACCTGTTGCTTTATTTTCGTAATTTATGCTGATAGTCTTTTGATGACAGTAATGTGGCCTTTGTGTGGAGGTGACGCCCATTCTCCCCAACCTTTTGCAAATATTCACTAACATCTACGCTATTTTATAGTAATGAATATACGACACCAGCTGTGTGCCAACTACACTCTAATGAATCAATATTACTTGGCCTTAATGTCTTTGATAGTAGGAAGTGAAGCGGAGGTTCGTGTTTTATGCACATTAACATTTTAAGGCTGTACAGTATTCTTAAGGCTGTATTTTATTCCTTATTTTCACACACATATATCTATTTACTGCTTTCTTAATGAGATTTTTTTTTTCTATTATACAACACACCTTTCAAAAAATTTGTGTGAGTTTCCAGCCAACTAGTGTGAGTCCGTCTGCTGTAACAACAATCGGTGGCAGAGTGTCTACCTTACAGGAAAAGGCACAATATTTGCATGTGATAGAGAATACTTATGTCCGGTTTGACTAATAATTTTGTATAAAAAATATAAAATTATTGCGAAATTATTGACCAGTCACTGTAGATTGAATAATCACCTATCGAAGTTAGAAATTCAATCCAACCCAGACTCAGTCCATGTGCTTGGAAAGTGCCCGGCACTGATGCACAAGCGGAAGAAACACCTAGGCGGGCATTTCATGGATTATAAGCACTCAAGACTAGAAAAGATAGGCTCTATACTATTTTTCAACAAAGAAATCGAACTTGGAGAAACATTCTAATCCGTCTATGGGGTACAATAGATCTTTTAGGTAGCACAGCACGATCCCTTCTTTTCAATAATAAAAAACTCAACTATTTATTAAATAGTTGAATTAACAATATAATAATTAATTACACACATAATGCACATATGTTAATTATGGGTGTCATACTAACAGTTATAAGTGGATATGAATTCGTCGTCATTATTATACAAATTAATAAAAAAATAAAATTGCATTACTATTATTAACATAAAAAATGTTAACTTTATCTTAAATTATTATTATTAAATTATTATGATTAGTAATTATTGAGATCTGGAACTGTATCTCACCTGAATTCTTGTGTAGCTTGGAAGCTTTCGTCATCTGTTATTGAAAAAACACAAAGAAAACCTTCGCCACTGCGGAAGTAATTATCTCTTATGGCAGCATAGTCTTCTTGACCAGCTGTGTCCAGTATATCTATTTGTACTTCTTCGCCATCTAAAACAACCTAATCCAAAAATCATATTTTACTCAATAATTACAAATAAAAATTATGTCCAACTTACTTTTTTTCGATAACTGTCGGCTTTGGTTGGTTCGTAATCCTCTACGAATTCATCGTACATGAACTGTAACGTCAGCGCTGATTTACCCACACCACCGCTGCCCACCATAATCACCTTATGCAGCGCGGGTCCAACAGCAGGCTTTTTACTCATATTTATTAGAGGTTACTACTGTGTTCTAGGGAAAGGGAGTGTGTGCTATGGACTAGACTAAAGTATGCAGAATCTTGAAATAGGAAACAGTTGTGGCAATAAATAAAAACTGAAAATAGAGTAAAAGAAGAAAAAATATTATTAAACTAATTTAGAAGACATACTTTTTGATTTTTATTTAACAGAAAGAATATGTTTCGTCTTTAAGAACATAAGATACTTAAAAACTGCACACAATACTACGAACAGCGGTGAACACTACACAGCCGGCCGGCCATAAAGTAATTATTGGCCATTTGCCATATTTCAAACTTTTTTTATTATTAATTAGTTGTACTTTTATGGTTACATGTGCTATTCAAAAAGTCGGTTGAATAAACTTTGAGTTCTCTTTTGCCGGCATTACTTCTTCTCTTTTTTGTTGCAAATTATTTAGAAACACAAAAAACTTTTATCATTTTTAATAAAATATTTTTGATTAAATAATGTACTGAGTGAATTATTATTTTATTTTTACTATAATTAGCTTTATTAAGAACTCTGCTCCAGAACAATTGGGACTTACCGCCTATTTTTGACATACAGTAAATGAATAGAAGAAAGATATTTGAATAGAAACCAAAGAAAGTTTCTTCATCTCATTTGTTAATCCTAATCAACTTTTATATGTAAATTTTCATTTGTCTAAGTTAATCTTATTCAGAGTTAATTCTTTGTCTGGAGAGAACTTGTCGGTGACATACTTGTAATATATGTTCCGTGATTTCTTTTATGGTAGCGCCTATTATAATCATATGACTTATTGTTGAATCATAACCGATCGTAACAAATTTAAGCAGATCTACATAGTCCTTGTTTAAGTTACTACAAGAACTCTACGTTTTCTTGTCAATAAATAAATAAAATCATTATAAGAGAATATACAAATCTTCATTGTATATTGTTAAAGTTCTAATAAGGAGAAAGATAAACATCGAAGAATTTTTGTGTTTATTGTGGCAATAACACAAATATATTGGTACTCAAGAATTATCGATATTAAATCAATAATGGACCTACGTCATCAACTCATGTAATTGCTAATAGTTGACCCTCACTATGTTTGAAAAGTCCTCATTACTTTAGACCCCACCTTATACACATACATCGCTGTTCCATGTTATACTATACTTCCCCAACTCAATCGCTTCCTCATCAACGTTCATATTATGAGATATTTTTAACGTTTGATTTATCAGATATTTATACTTTATAGACAGTGAAATGTTATTCGGATGTATACTATTATAAAAATTAACAAAAGCATGTTAATCAAGATTTTTCTGATATTCATCATTTCTATTTGTAAACATCATAATAGTCATAAGTCATATTTAGTAATTTTGCGAATAAATCAAAGTTTTTGTAAATGAAATGCAAATGAGTGAATATTGGCGACAATAAAGTTTGATTTCAAAAACAAACTGTGATCGATTAATCACAACACATGCCAAAAATATGAAATGAAAAAGGTTTTAAGAGTAGTAAAGTCAAAAAACACAAATTATAGATGCGATACGAGGCATAATTTAGATAACATTTAAAACATTTATGAACCAGCAAAAAACGATTTAGAAAATTTATAATTTGCGATCGAATTAGATTTGTGAACAATTTGGAAGGCAAGTGAATGAAAACTCTGAATTGTGACTTAGCCAACTGGCTAAGTTGAATGAACTCTTTCAGGTGTGCATTTCTCGAACTGTTGTCCGATATATTTATTAATCTACAATAAATGTGGAAGCTTGAAAGATATTGCATATAAAAACGAAACACGTTTCTCTCGAAGTGGTTGGACTTCCAAAGTACACAAAATTATTCCGTGTAATAAGCAAATCGAAATAAAACGGCCTTTGAAACACTGAACACGTAAGCTGGATTTTTATACGGATTTTTATCTGCTAAAAAATGAAAATTGCCTATCGATGTAAGTTCACACACGTCGTTGTTTCCTTTTTCATCTTGAAATGCAGCTGCACAAAAGTATCTCAAGTAAACAATCTAATAAATGCGCTGTGAGTCAGGCAGTTGCTTGTAGTTTACAACGAGTATGCATTGAACGCCAGAGATTGATGGTGCAATAATAAAAACAGACAGGAAAGGGAGATAAATAAATATCACATTTATCACATTTATCACATTTACTACGACTGATATCGAAATAGAAATTTTAATTGGAACTTGAAAAAAATTACTTTAACTTCATGTTTTTATTTCGATCAGGTAAACATTAATCGATTTTCTACTCAGCCGTATGTGCAGATTATGCTTTAAATGTGAATTTTGCAAAGAATGACTTTACGGATTAAAGCGTTTTCAAATTATGTGAAGAGATGGTGATATATGTAACTACTCGTATATGATTTTCAAGTTTCGAGAGAAAGTGGTTCAATTTTTTTTATCAATAATTGTATGTATATGTACATATGATTCTATCCTAATAGATTCAGTATAATCTACTCAATATTATATATTATGTGAATTGAAAGCGTTGACATTCGATGAGTAACTGGCATCTTTTAATTTACAATCCACAGTTCACAAAGAATTTGTTGCTGGCACAACAGAGCGCCTAGAACCGTAATCATGCCTTTATTCCTCTACTATCTTCTTGTCACATGAAGTAGAAAAATTCTGTCATATCTGATCTTGTGTCAATTTCATTCTTTTAATCTGTCAAAGAGGAGCATGTGTAATGATCAACATCACTACAGGTACAAAACATATAATTAAAATAAAATTCTCTACAATAAAGCAAAAGTTTCAGGAAAGTCTGTAGTTACCTAACTATGATCACTTGTACCACTCCCACATTTTTAAGGACAATGAAGCAACTTTTGTTACAATTTGAAGACTAAAGTCTTCAAATATATATGTGGTATAGAAAAAATTTATTATCATTTTCTCTATGAGTTTTTAAAGTAGTTGCAGATAATAAAAGGAATCATTTATTTTAAAAGGATCTGTTCAAATTGATAGTTTTGATATATTTAGCAATTTAAGCTCCATTGAAAGCTTTAGTTAAACTTAAATGGAATATATTAGAGATAAAGAAGTTGTAAAACATATTTATAATTTTTCTTTAATAGAAATGAATTGTTTGTTTAATCACTCATTGTTGATATAAAATTTGAAACAGTTTTTAATTAGAATATAGAAAAAGTTAATAAAAAAATTCATCTTCAGATAACAAATAATCTTACTCATACTTCATTTCACGTCATACTAATAATTACTCATACCAATTTATCAGCTTTTCTCAAGCAACAAATATCTCTTAATTAACATTTATTATTTAAAAAAAAAGATTAAAAATTAAAAACATGAAAAACTTCACCGCAGCTACGACATAAATTTTTCAATATGAAAAAATCGAAGCCACACCTTAAACAGTTAAAATTCTTAACGAAAACTAGAAAATTTTAAACAAATTTTTTATTTGAATTTAGGTTCATTAAAAATAATAAAAATGAGAGACAATTATGAAATTTAAAACAGATATGTGTGAAAATGAGGAATAACATCAACATGTGAAAATTAAAAAAACAAATTAGTCTACACCTGTTGTTGATATTCATATATGACTAATTTTCGAGGCCTAAAGCTCAAGTCTAGTTCTAATACAAATGCTGTTCATATTCGGATGTCTCGAATTTTTGAAATAGTCCAAATGTCCGGATATAAAAGATAAGTTTGTAAAGTTGAAACTACCTGTATAGTCCCTATTGGAAGTGGTGTGGAGCAATTGGACGGCTCGTTGGACGAGTTGCTTCGAAACGTGAGCCAGGCTACTCCTAGAACCACTTGTCTACCTTTACCCAATCACATCCTAATCCAAGCATCATTATTGTAATTCTTTTTATGTTTCCTGATATATAGATCTTCATGGGTAACAACAACAACAGTATAACAGTACAACAATAGTATAATCTGTTTGGAGAGTCCATTTTGCAGCAAATAATTCGAATCATGAGACGCAAGTTTCAATTTTTTGCATTTTATTTTAATGAGCCGCATAACACACCTTAAGCTTTAGTTCATGCTCGCTGGCTTACATGGATTTAACTTTCTAAATATTACGTCTTCTAACCTGTATTATCTACCCTTGATGGCTGAGGGTTTCAACCAATGACCCTTTACAGAAGTGGATTGGAATCTTTCACAATTTATTTTTTTGACGTAGTTTTCTTGAGTCATACCTATCAATCTTACTTATGGTGCTTTCCACCTACTCCAAAACAAAAAAGTTTATAAAACTCAATACAGTAATGCCTCTATATAACACGATACACTTATAACGCTTTTTCATATTACGCGATTTCAATTCCGTAATATTTGTGCAGTTCATAATTAGCTTCGCGTACCTTTACACGTGTGCATACGGGGTATACGGGAATACCCCTATAACGCGGAACCAATCTATAGCGTTATAGAGGGGATTACTGTATATTCAGAATTGTTTTTCTAATCTCATATTCGTATGAGATATTCATAATCGCCAAATAGTTTGTTCGTATAGCAAATTATTTCAATGATAAAAGCTAGTACGTATACAACCTTATATTGAAACTAGAATAGAAAATCTGATCGAAAATTACTTCCATAAAAAATAGATTTTAGATGCTTGTACGAAACCAATTTGTGAAACTAACCAACAAAGCTAAAAAAATATTCAAATTGAAATAATTTTATTTCTAAAAATGTCGAAAAAATTATTCGTAATTTGAGGTCTCAACTGCAGCAACTGAACTCGTTGCGGCTTTGTTTGAATTGGAGTTAAACCGTGTTTTGCAGCTCACATTTGCTGTGAGATACAATACTTTGTCAACACATTTTAGTTTGGAATTCTGTGGTTTTGCTAACTTAGGTAACATCAGACATCAGACATCACTGCCAACGAAACTAACCTAGAGTATTTTGGGTCACATTCTCGATAAAACACGTACTCGTATAAATTCATGAGGTACACAGCATGTATAGTTTGAAGTATTTCAAGGTGTGACACGCTGAGATGTGAAACTACACCGAATAGCAGTTTAACCACTGAAAAATATTTATTTTGGAACAAAT